TTCATTTTGATCATTGTTGTAAAATACAAATTTCATATTTCCTGCAGGCTGCTGCCAAGGCTAGCTCGCAGAGTCAGAAATCAATATTAGCGGATGATGAAGATATGGATCCAACTGTATAGCTTCATTCCTTCCTCGATGATATCAATTCTGCATGTCTTTTATGCCGAATGTTATTTTCTTGAGCCTATAAAATATAAGAATGTAATTTGTCTTCTTGATTTGTTTATCTTGCAGCAATACTTTGAAAATAGGCTAAAGTATCTTGTGACTCTGAAGGCAGAAGGGGAGAATCCCTATCCTCACAAATTTGAAGTTTCCATGTCTATTTATCAGTACATAGAGAAGTATGGAGGTTTGAGCAATGGGGAACATCTTGAGGATGTTGGAGTGTCCTTGGCTGGTAATCAAAATAAATGACTTCCATATATTTAGAATATTAGTCATTCATTTCTAGTTTTTTTTTTCTTTTTTTTTTCTTTCTAGTGAAATCCTTCTATGTTTTCTCCTCATTCAAGGTCGAATCATGAACAAAAGATCTTCCTCATCCAAGCTATTCTTTTATGATCTGCATGGTGGTGGGTTTAAGGTCCAAGTTATGGCTGATGCAAGGTATTGTTATCTCTTGTTTTCGAATTTACTTTCCTTATCTATTTCTTTCTTGATACCTAGCATCTTTTACCTGAAAAGCTGAAATTCTTGCTCATTTTGTATCAACAAGACCCTCATCTGTCTTTGAATCTATTCAAGTATTAACTAGAAGCTGTTACTTTCAATTGTGTCTTCCTCAGTTAACATTATAACTACTTTCCTACTTGATTTGATGTTATATATATATATATGTATATGTGTTTGTATATATTTTCTCTTAGATATTTTTGTTTATGTTATTGCATTTTATTTTTTATTAGTCTTATGGTCCCTAGCATGATTGGCATAAGATATCTCCTTTTCCTCTTCCTCTCTGTCAAAAACAATGGGATGGTCGTTCATTTTCCTCTTTGATTGGAGGCCAGGAAGTAAGTTGATGTTTTGAATGTAGTGACGTTATTTACAACCTCATAATCATGTGTAGCATATTTATAGTCACAAGTTAAGAGACAAGGACAACTGCATTCTTGCATGTGTTTTTTTTGTGTGTATGGACATGTTTGCTAATAGTCCTCAATTAACTGTCTACCTGTGTTTATCAGTTCCCAATTTTGCAAATACATGTCTAGTCATGCTTGCTTAGGGCGTAGAACAATATAAATAAATTTCTAAATGTTATGGTTTGGTAAGTTTTGCCATAGCTTCTTCCATAAGTCAAATAAGATAGATGCTTGATTTGTTTAAATTATTATATCTTTTTCCTTATAAAAGAACTTGTACTTTGATCCACTTCTTTAATATTCCAAATTTTCTGCCTTTTTCTATCAGATAGCTAAACCTATTTTCCCTTGTCACTACTGCAGCAAGTCGGGCATGGATGAAGCAAATTTTTCAAAGTTCCATGCCAGTGTTAAACGTGGTGATATTGTTGGTATCACTGGGTTTCCAGGTTAGCATATTGCAACTGTTGACATTTGTGTCTTATTACAGTCATTAAGATTTTTCATCTATTATAGCTAGGGAGCATGCTTGTCTATCTGTTTATTTGCATATTCTGCAGCTGCCTGGATTATGAGATCAGCCTTACTTTGTGAAGTTTTGGAAATCGTGCTACACTGGGATTTTGGTCCTGGTTAATCCTCATAATATTCATTATTAGAACATTATGATGTTCGCAAGTAATAGTTGTAGTTTGTTGTTCCCCTTATGGATTCTTTTAAAGACTTCACGATATGATCTTCTTGTGGTTACAGCATAACTAAAGATTTTTTAAATAAACTCTCTTCTAAATTATGGATTATTTGACCTCTTTGCTGGTCAGGTGTTTTACGTGGTACATTTAGAAGTGCTCTACCATCTTGTTTTATGCACATTGGATTTTTATTTCAAATGGTCCTTACTTCTTCCTTCACATTATTCTTATTTCTGTTGGGAGAATAGCATGCTGTTGCAATATAGTGGCTGCTTTCATTTCTTCTAATGTCTATGATGTAATTTAGGTTTTAATTCTGACAGGAAAAACTAAAAGAGGGGAATTGAGCATTTTTCCAAGATCATTTATAGTTTTATCTCACTGCCTTCACATGATGCCCAGACAAAAACCTGGTCCAAGTTCAGATACTGCGAATGTGAGGATGAATAAAATCTACTGTGACATCATGCTGGGTGGAATATGTTATTGTTGCTAATATTTCTTCTCTTTTTACAGAAAGGTGTTTCATGGGTTCCAGGAAGTACTAGGAATCCAGAAGCATATATTTTAAAAGATCAGGTGCTCATCAACATCCCAGAGTGTATAGTTTCTTTTTCGTCATTTTCGTTTGTACATTAGCGTATGCCGATATGTGTTTTTTATGCTAGGAAACCCGGTATCGTCAACGGTATCTTGATTTGATGTTGAATACGGAAGTTCGCCAAATATTCAAGACCAGATCCAAGATTGTTTCGTATGTCAGGAGCTTCCTTGACAACCTTGATTTCTTGGAGGTTTGGCGCCTTTCTTTTGGGGTTATTTGTGTTGCTTTGGTTATATATGCTTACATATGTATGTACATATACATATCTATTCAGAATGTTTCTTGTATTCATGGTAGTTGTCACTTTCAGGTTGAGACACCTATGATGAACATGATTGCTGGAGGAGCAGCTGCGCGTCCATTTATTACACATCATAATGAACTGAACATGAGGCTGTACATGCGAATTGCACCTGAACTCTATCTTAAGGAGTTAGTTGTTGGTGGACTTGATCGTGTTTACGAGATAGGAAAACAG